GGCCGCATGCAAGGCAAACGCCCTACCCACTGTGCTATCACTCCAGCCCACTCCTGTTTATACTGTCTTTTATTATTATTATTATTACTATTATTATTATTGGGCTGTAGCGATAGCACAGTGGTTAGAGCGTTTGCCTTGCACACAGCCAACATGGCCCACCCAAGTTCAATTCCTTCGCCCCTCTCGGAGAGCTTGGCAAGCTACGGAGAGTATCTCGCCCACACGGCAAAAGCCTGGCAAGCTACCCGTGACATATTCGATATGCCAAACACAGCAACAACAAAGTCTCACAATGGAGACGTTACTGGGCCCGCTTGAGAAAATCAATGAACAATGGGAGGACAGTGACAGTGATTATTATTATTATTCACATACTATATGTATATTTATATATTATATTCTGCAAATGAGTTCAATCATATCTGTCCCTCTTCCTCTGACTCATTTCACTCAGCATACTATCCATGTCCACTCATAGTGTATAAGCAAATTTCATGACTTCAATTTTTCTTACTGCTGTGTAGTATATAGTTGTGTAGTTGTGCCATAGTTTCTTTATCCAGTCATCTGTTCTCAGGCGCTTGGGTTGTTTCCAGATTCTGGCTATTGTGAATAGTGCTGCAATAAACATAGGAGTGTAGATGGCTTTTCCGCATTGTTTTTTGAGCCACTAGGGTATATTCTCAGTAGCAGTATTACTGGGTTATATGGAAGCTCAATTTCTAGTTTTCTGGGGGCAATGTTCATATATTTTCTCCAGAAAAGAGTGTGGACGCAGTTCCCCACTATCACAAGTTATGCAGTCAAATTTCCCACATTTGTGGATGTGGGAAATTACAGGGTTAGTAAGCACATCTGGAGCACAATGGATAAGCCTCACACTGGGAAAACCACCTTTGTGATCATGGTATCTCCCCTGCCAGGTAAGTATGTATATCCACGTTGTTTTCCAGAAAGGCTGGACCAATTGGCATTCCAAGTGAATGAGAGTCCCTTTCTCTCCTCATCCATGCCAGCACTTATTCTTTTTGATGTGTGCCAGCCTCTGTGACATGAGATATTTCACTGTTGTTTTGAATCGCATCTCCCTTATAATTAGTGATGTAGAGCACTTTTTCATGTGCCTTTTGGCCATTTGTATTTCTTCTTTGAGGAAATTTTTGTTCATCTCTTCTTCCCATTTTTTGGTGGGATGAAATTTTTTTCTTGTAAGGTGCCTTCTAGTTCTACTAGTGTCTTACCTTAGATATTAACCCCTTTATCAAATAGGTATTGGGTAAATAAATTTTCCCATTCTGTGGGCTGTCTTTGTATTCTGTACATCATTTCCTTTGAAGTGCAGAAGCTTCTTATCTAACGTCTCATTTGTTTAACTTTGGTTCCACTTGCTTGATCAGTGGTGTTTCATCCTTAAGGATGCTATTAGCTTCAATGTCATGGTGAGTTCTGCCTACATTTTCCTCTTCCTACAATTTCTAGCTTAGGAATTCAGGTCTTAAAAAAAAGGTTTTTAATCCATTTTAATTAGATTTTTGTGCATGGTGTTTAGAATGAGGCCTGAGTTAATTTTTTTGTATGTAGCTGGCCAGTTTTCCCATAACCTCTTTATTAAAGAAGTCTTCCTTGCTCCACTTCATATTTTTGCTCCTTTATCAAAGATTAGCTGATCATATACTGAAGATTTGTTTCAGAATATTGATCTGAAGATCTGTCTTGATTCTAGTATCATGCTTTTTAATTTACTACCACTTTGTAGTACAATTTGAAGTTGGGGAAAGTGATGCTTTCCATTTTCTTTATCCTAAGGATTGCTTTAGTTCTTCTGAGGATTTTATTGTTCCATATAAAATTCAGGAGTGTTTTATTTCTTCGAAAAATGACATGGGTAACAGTATGCACTGAATTTGTACAATGCTTTGGGGAGTATTGCTGTTTTAATGATATTTATCCTTCAAATCCATGAGCAAGGGAGGAGTTATCATTTCCTCCTGATCTCTTTCATTTCTTTTTTTTTTGTTTGTTTGTTTGTTTCTTTTTGGGTCACACCCGGCATTGCACAGGAATTACTCCTGGCTAGTGCACTCAGGAATTACTCCATACCTCTCTTTTATCTCTTGAAGTAGTGCTATGTATTTTTCTTTTATAGGTTTTTCACCGCTTTAGTTAAGCTGATTCTGAGGTACTCGATTTCCTAAGGCACAATTGTGAATGTGCACAATTTTAATATCTTCTATTTAATTACTTGTATGTAGAAAAGCCATGAACATCTGCTTATTGATTTTGTAGCCAGCCATTTTACTATACAAATCTATTGTTTTTTTTTTTTGTAGTCTTTAGAATTTTCTAAGTACAGTATCATGTCATCTGCAAATAGTGAGAGTTTGACTTCTTCCTTTCTTATCTGGATGCCTGTGATATCTTTTTCTTGCCTAATTGCTATTTCAAGAACTTCAGTACGATATTGAATAGAGGTGGTGAGAGAAAGAAAACTTGTCTTGTGCCTGATCTTAGAGGGAAGGCTTTTAGTTTTTCCCCCACTGAGTATAATGTTTGCTCTGGTAAATGGGTTTGACTATACTGAGGAAAGTTACTTCAATTTCCATTTTGTTGAGAGTTTTTTAATTAATTAATTTTGCTTTTTGGGTCACATCTCACGATGCTCAGGGTTATTCCTGGCTCTTCACTCAAGAGTCATTCCTGGAGGTGCTCAGGGTACCATATGGGATGCTGGGAATCAAACCTTAGTTAGCCACGTGCAAGGCAAGCACCCTACCCACTTTACATCTCTCTGGCCCTTGTTGAGAGCTTGTATTATGAATGGGTATTGGATCTTGTCAGATTTTTTCTCTGCATCTATTATATGGTTTTTATTTTTTCTTTTATTGATATGGTGTATTATGTTGATTGATACGCATATATTAAACCATCTGTGAATTCCCAGCATGAATCCTACCTACTCATGGTGTACAACCTTTTTGATAAATTGCTTTATTCTATTTGCTAGTGTTTTGCTGAGGATCTTTGCATTTGTGTTCCTCAAGGATATTGGCTTGTAATTCTTTTGTGTGTGTGTGTGTATGTGTGTGGTGTGTCTGTATACTTTTGGTATTAGGATGATGTTTGCTTCATAGAAACTGTTTGGGAGTGGTTTTGTTTCTTCAATTTCCTAGAAGAGCCTAAAAAGGATTGGCAGTAGGTCCTCTTTAAAGGTTCAAAAAAATTCACTAGTGGGTCTGGGTCTGGGCTTTTGTTTTGGGGAAGACTTTTGATTATCATTTCAATTTCCTCCATAGTGAGAGGTCTTTTTGAGTTTTCCAAATGACTTTAGTTCAACTTTGAGAGGTTATAGGAGTCAAGGAATTTATCCATTTCTTCTAGATTCTCTCGTTTCATGGTATAAAGATTCTCAAAGTATTCTCTGATAATCCTTTGAATTTATGTGGTGTCTGTTATGATGTTTCTCTTTTTCATTTCTGATTCAGTCTTTTAGGGTTCTCTCTCCCTTTCTCCCTCTCTCTTTTTCTCTTTCTCTGAGTCTTGCTAGTGGTTTGTTGATCTTGTTTATTTTTTCAAAGAATCAGCTCTTGATTTCACTGATTTTTCAGTGACAATATCACCAATTTTTGATATTTTGGAATTTCAGTTCATAAATTTCCATTCTAAGTTTTATTATTTCTTTCCTCCTGCCTTGGGCTTCTTTTGTTGGTCATTTTCCAGTTTCTTAAATTGTATAGTCAAGTTATATATGTGGGCCTTTCTTCCTTCCTGATGAATGCTTGCATAACAATGAACGTTCCTTATAACATCTGTTTCCCACAGTTCTGGTAGGTAGTAGTGTCCTCATTCTCATTTGTTTCCACGAATCTTTTAATTTCCTATTTGACTTCTTCTCTGACCCACTGGTTGTTCAGTAAACAGATATTTAATATCTATGTATTTGAGTTTTTCTTCCATTTCCATTTCCATTTGTGATTGATTTCTTTCAGTGCATTGTGCTTTGAGAAGATCGGTCACGGTCACGGTCCTCCCGTTGTTCATCGATTTGCTCGAGCGGGCCCAGTAACATCTCCATCATGAGACTTGTTGTTACTGTGTTTGGTATATCAAATACATCACGGGTAGCTTGCCAGGCTCTGCCGTGCAGGCGAGATACTCTCAGTAGCTTGCCGGGCTCTCCGAGAGGGGTGGAGGAATCCAACTCGGGTCGGCTATGTTGACGGTTTGTAAGGCAAACGCCCTACCACTGTGCTATCACTCCAGCCCTTGAGAAGATCATTGATATGATTTCTATGCTCTTGATTTTGTGGAACTGTGTTTTGGGTTTGTGGCCCAGCATGTGGAGAAAGTCCGATACGCATAGGACAAAAATGTGTATTTGGCTTTCCATATATATGTAAATTCTACTTACTGCTCTCTGGTCCATTTCTTCTCCCAAATAAAGTATTTCCTTGCTGAACTTTAGTCTAGTTGATCTCTCAAGACATGACAAAGAGGCATTAAAATCTCCCAACTACTATTGGGTTGGAGATCAATGCCTTTCTTCAAGTTTATTAGCAGTTTTAAGTATTTTTCTGGTCCCTCATTAGGTGCATATACATTTAGAAGTTTGAGTTCTTCCTGAGGTATGTATCTCATGATCATTTAGAAATGACCTTTTCTGTTTCTTAAAGCTTTCTTCAGCCTGTTTCTGATACTTGTATGGCCACCTGCACCTTCTTAGGGGGTTGCTTGCTTGAAAAATTGTTTTCCAACCTTTGAATTTGTGTGTGTTTGCTCTGACTGTTCAAATGTGTCTTTTATAGCCATTAGAGTGGTAGGTTCAATTTTCTAATCCATCCACTCTATGTCTTTTAATTGGTTCATTTACTTTATGGATATTGAGAGAGATCACTGTTATAGAATTTGTGCCATTATTATGCAGAACTTTGGCATGTTTATGGGACTTATTTTGTTTTAAAGTAGCCCATTTAGATCATGCAATGATGTTTTTTTGAGTCATGCTTGTTTCAGCAGCACATATACTAAAATTGAAAGGGTACAGAGATTAGTGATCCCTGAGCAAGGATGACCCACAAATTCATGAAACAATGGCTTTGAGTCTGTGAAGTTACTGAGTTGTTTATCTGTGAAGTTGTGCATTGTTCCTTCAAATATGAATGAGAGCCTGAGTAAATTATTCTTGGTGAGGTGTTCATTTCATTTGAGTTTTTTTTCACTATGTCCCATCACTGTTTCGAGGCACAGAGGGTTTCATCTGATAAGTTTGTTTTAAATCTTAAGGATACCTCTTTGTGTATAATTTCCTTCTTTGATCTCGCTGCTTTCAGTATTCTATCTGCATCTATGGTTTTCATCATTCTGATTAGGATGTTTCTCAGGGTATTTTGTTTTTTTTTTTTAATCTGATATCCTTCTTGCCTCCTGGATCTAGTGAATCCCAGAACTCTTCAGCTCTGGGAACTTCTAAGCAATGATGTCCTTGACTGTTGCTTTTTCATCAGAGTTGTCTTCCTGCTCCTCTGGGATCCCAGTGATTCTATTCTATGTTCTTCTTGAATTCATCCCAAAGCTCTTTTGTCATCTATTGGTTTATTTTGAGGTTTATTTTCATCTCTTGCTGTTGTCTGGAGGTTTTCTGTACCTCATCTTGGAACTCACTGATTCTGTCCTCGGCAGCTGTTACTCTGCTGCTGAGGCCTCCCAGTGAGTTTTCCATTTCCCGAATCAAGTTTTTTAGATCTGTCATTTCTGTTTGTAGTTTCCTTATTTGTGTTTTTTTGGTGGTTAGTTCCATTGTTTCTTTGAGATTGTTGTATATCCTCAACAATTCTTCTCTAAATTCCTTACCAGAAAGGTTATGTAGCTCATTATTACATAATGAGTGTTGAGTCTTTGGGGCTGGCATCTTCACTCAATATGCCTAGTGGGGTTCTGCATTGCTTTACCATTGTGACCTTTGAAGTCTGGAGTTGTTTCTTGTGTGTTGTTGTGTGGTTAAGTGCCTATAGTTAGGATGCCTTTGTATGTATAGAATAAGTTATGGAGAGGGGGAAGGAGGGAATTCCTGACCTGGGAGTGCAAAACAGCTGTCCTGAATAAAAATCAGGGCCCCTGATTTTGAGACCCTGCCTGGACAAAGCCAAGCTAACGTGGCTAAGTGCTCCTCCCATTCCTTATCTTCTTCACAGCCTGGGCAGGGATTCCCAACCTGATGGGCAAAATAGCAATCCTGGGTAACAATCACGACCTGACACAGTTTCCTTCAGCCAGGAAAATCCCCAGAGAATGGGACTCTCTGAGGTCTGACTTGGAGTGGCAATTAAGCACCCTACCCTCACCTGAGGCAGCCATCAAATCCAGTACCTGAGTATTGGATAGATTTAATCAAGGTTCCAATTTAGGTGTATGTATGCAAAAGTGGTTTATTAATATTTAGCCAACAAACCACATTTTGGAAGCAGTGAATACAAACACGTCAAAAATTATAGATGAGTAGAAGTAGCTTCATTAATTGATACTGGTGAAACTTCACTGGTCAAATTAGTCACATGAATTAGCTAAGCATTTTTTGAGTTAAGAATCTAGAGATAACGGTGATCCAATCCCTTTGAAAAGAGATAGTTTGCTTTCTTTCCACATGCTCCACTGTGAACTTTCTCCTTCAGAGTCTGTATTTGGCGAGAGGTTCAGGGTAAATTTGGTGGGCGCCTACTTGCCAACAACTATATGAACATGTGACAATATTTGGTCTACAACTTGATTTCACTATAAGCTGGTAGAAAGATTGTTGGGGCAGAAGGCCTAGAGGCCTCGCCTAACTCTAACAATTAGTAAACTGCAAATTTTACATAAAAGTTTTACTAATCATGAATTCCAAAACTGATATAAATTAGCTTGCTTCACCCCGATGCTGTAAAAAATTCTAGCCAGGGCAAATCTAACCAGAAAAACTCACTCAAATTCTGTGAGACCTATTATTTCCAGTATTTAGACCTCTTTCAGCCACATTGAGGCTTGTGTCTCTTCCTCTCTGGTTCTTCAGCATCCTGTGGTGCTTCTGTGGAGAATCTCAAGTTCATGAACTCTAAAGTTCTCATGTTTTCTGGAATATCTCTTCTGAAGGGCAAACTGGTATTGATGCTGGTGTCGATGGAGGTACCCAAGTTCTGTGGTTCCTCCCCTGCAACTCATGGTTGCATACCCTTTTTCACTGTAAAATCTCTTGGACTTACTTTCTTTCAATAGTGACAGAACTTTACCTTCTTTACTTGCACCCTCTCTAAAGTTGCCATTGCACCTGTCTGCCTAGGCACCCAGAAAGACCCTCCTCTAAATTCCTATAGTTGTTGAGAATGTGCTCAGGGACTTGGTCCATGCCCACCTGGGTATTAGATGAAAACAGAATACCTTTAATACTTTACGAGGACATGTCGCAGTGGTCACTCTGTATGTTTTATTGAATCTGACATTTTTCTTTCATCCAGGACAGATGCCTACCTGATTGTGAATGAGTTGGGCAGAGAGAGGAATGACACCAGGCTTGGGAGGAGAAAGATGTAATTATCTTTGTATATGTTCCATTTCCTGCCAGGCTACAGGCTGCTGACCAAAACAGAGGCCGTTACTTTGGTTTAAAAAAGACATCTTGGGATCTTGAATTGTGCTTAAATGGGAATTGAAAATAAATGATAGAGTGCAAGGACCTGGACTCTGTGTGTGTGTGTGTGTATGTATGTGTACATGTACATAGCTTTGCCCATTCCTATCATCAGTTCTTTGTCATAACCTCCATGGACAACTCCCCCTGTTCCATGACCACCAAGGACAAACCCCATGTGCCATAGACCTCAAGGCCAATGCCCCTGTGCTACAGCCCCCCCCCCCCCCCCCCCGCCAAGACCAGCCTTGCAGTGGACCGGGCATCTGCTTGCTTCAAGTCAAGGTCAGAGCCTCCTAAGAGAGCCAGGCCTTCCTGCAGCTGTGTCTCTCCATGTGTGTTTGAACAGGTGGGCTTGTGTATCCTTCTTCTTGGACTTGCTGCTTTCAGACTCAACTCTTCTGTACCCTGTTGGGACTCACTAGACAATGTCAGAGAATGTGTTGGTGGGCATTAGGAGGAGCATGGCATTGGCTTTTATCCTTTCTGCTTCATGTAAACCATGCCCAGATGTCTTGGACTTTTGGATCTCAGAACATGGCTCTAGGAACAACCTTGAATCTGTGGAGAGAGGACAGGTCAAGACATCAGGGGTTCAACCTTTCTGTGGGTATTTTACAGGAATGTTCTTTCTTGCAGGGCTGTAAGGGAGAGAAAGTTACAGAAGGAAGAGAGGTTAGGACAGCAAGGTCACCATGGGTCAGGCAGCACAGGGAGAAGAGGACATGCTTCAGTGGTCATGTCCACTCTATGTTTTAGAAAAACTCTGTGTTTTTCTTTCCAAATATTTCTTCTCAGAGATACTAGTAAGGTCTGTGTAACTGGGACAGAGATGCCACACAGGGTCAGCCTATGTTGCAGTGATCAGTGAAGCAGAAGGGGCTGGTTCTGAAGAGCTGTGTACTAACAGAGACATCTCAGGAAAAGGTAATGTCAGCTTCTCCCTTAGTCAATGATCTCTAGGATTCAGTGTCAGAGCATAAACTTAAGTACACATCTAAATCCACAGCAGGGGGCCTGGAGTGATAACACAGCGGGTAGGGCATTTGCCTTGCACGTGGCTAAACTCGGTTCAATTCCCAGAATCCCATATGGTCCCCGGAGCACTTCCAGGAGTAATTCCTGATTGCATGAGCCAGGAGTAACCCCTGTGCATCACCGGGTGTGACCCAAAAAGCAAAAAAAAAAAAAAAAAAGTAAATAAAAGTAAATCCACAGCAGGGACACCTGCCTAACCAAGGGACCTCCCCTGGACCTGGGCTAGATAGAAGTTGGTAGGATTGAAAACTCTAGTTGGATTGAGAGCTCTTGTCTCTTAGATCTACCAGTAGTTTCAGGAATCTGAGGGCAGTGGGCAGCCTTCCCTAACGACATCCCTGAAAGTGCCTCTGTTTATGCTCGTCCAGCAGCAATGTCAGCAACTTCTGATCCTGACTCTGGATCTGAATGTGGGATGTCCAGAAAGTGTTTGTCACCATCCACAACAGAGACAGCCTGCTGGAGAATCAGCTTCATGACACCTGGTTCTGCCAACATCTCTTCCTCTGGACTCTGGTGGTTTTACAGGGGTCCTACTTCTCTTTCTGAGATGCCGAACCATGAGAACTCTGCAGAAACTGCATCTCAGCTACCTTGATTGTGGTGCTCCATTTCTACAGCTCTTTCCCCAATCCTTTGTCTTTATTTTCTGTCAACCTGGATTGCTGTGTTTGTCAGATTATCAAGTTGCCTGAGGATCTCTTATAGTTCAGTATGTTGTGTGTGGGTTGTGGGAGTATTTCAGAGCTTTGATGAGTTTGAACCCAGGTTGAGGAAAAAAGACTTCTTAGTCCTGATTCCTCATGAAAAATCACCTTTCTAACACTAAGCTGGAGATTCTGATTTAAGTGGTCAAATGTGAGCATTTTTTAAAAAATTTTTACTAGTGAGACATCATGAGGTACAGTTGTAGACTTACAATTTTTTGTGCTTGGGTTTCACTTATACAATGATCAAATACCCATCCCAAGTGTGAGCATTTTTAACAATTTTTTATTGGAGGAACAACTAAGAATCACTGAGATATAATTCACCTTTCACTGTCATTCTGCAGATGCACAAGCAGTAGCCTAATGAGGGGAACTGGTGATTGAGCATGTCCAGGCATTTCTGCATGGACGCATGTTATTGTAGGGGTGTGGGCCAGCCAGAAATCGATAGGCAGTGCAAATTGTTATTGTTTCAACTCAGAAGAAGTTCAAACTCTGCTCAAAGCATAGTCTACAACAAGGTCGGTAGGTTCTAATTCTGGCCCTGTTATTTATTATGTGGGTAAACTGTCTACACATGTAATATTTCTGTACTTTCATAGCACAGCAGTAGGGAGTTTGCCTTGCATGCAGCCAGCCTGGCCAATCCGAGTTCAATTTCTTCGTCCCTCTCAGAGAGCCTGGCAAGCTACCG